ATACATTTTTACATATTAATGTACATTTTTATTTTAACATTTATTACATTATTACATTTATATTTACATATATATATTTATATATTATCATATGTATTTATTTATATGTTCATATATTACCATATTCATATTTATATTTTATTTATATATACATTTACTACATCATGCCGAATTGAGATGACGCCAATCTTTTATCACAAAATGGTTTTTTTGTATAAAATAAAAAAAATTTATTCATTTAGTCTTTAGAAACAACCTTATTGTTATCGAGAATTATGGCAGAAGCACCCGCTCTCAGTGTACAAATAGTTCGTGGTTTAAACGATAGAGTTTACGAGAAACGTAAAGCAGCTGCATTAGAAATAGAAAAGTGGGTGAAAATGAATTCAAAAAAACTAATTATAGCTTAACATTTAAAAAGAAAATAAAAAAAAATTGAATTAATTATTTTTTAGAATTTTTATTATTTTAACATACATAATAACAACCTTTCACCCTTTTTTTATTTTTTATATTTGTATATATATCTAATAGATTAATTAGAACGCATTTTGCTTCTAATAATGTAGAAAAAATTAAAAGTATTATTGAAAAACTCACTCAAGATTTTGCTTACTCTGCACATCAAAATTCACGTAATGGAGGTCTAATAGGTTTAGCAGCAGCCGCAATCGCTTTAGGGCCTGTATGTATCAAAAAAAATTATATTTACAATAGACAAGATATATATACATACACATATTAATATCATTTATTTTGAAAAATAGGATGTGGCACCCTATTTAGATGATATTGCTACGCCAGTTCTTCATTGCTTTACTGACCAAGAATCACGCGTAAGATATTATGCGTGTGAAAGCATGTATAATATTGCAAAGGTTTCTAAAGGCGAGATTTTGAGATATTTTAATGAGATTTTTGATGCAATGAGTAAGGTAAAGAAAAAAAATTTTTTTTTTTGATGAATTAAATTATCATTACTTCATATCTAACCATGTACCTTAAAATATATGGGAGCCATTCTAACAAAATCAGGTCTGAGACTCGTTAATCAAATTTGAAATAAACAAGTCTCAGACATTGATTTTGCTGGATTATATCCCATGTACATATATATATGCATGCGTTTCACATTTATAGCTAGCCGCAGATGCTGACTTACCAGTGAAAAATGGAACAGAACTATTGGATAGGTTAATTAAAGATATTGCAGCAGAACAATCAACCACATATGTTTCAGTTTTAGATGCCCCAAGCCTTGTTTCAAATGACGATCAAGATTTTTCAACGGATCCAATGAATATCCCAAGAACCACAGCATTTTCATTACCAAAATTTATTCCATTGTTGGCTGAACGTATTCGTGTTAAAAATCCATTCACACGATTGTTTTTAGTTTCATGGATTACAGTATTAGACTCAATACCAGATCTTGAATTGGTTTCTTTTTTACCAGATTTTTTAGATGGACTAATAAATTTTTTGAGTGATCCCAATGAAGCTGTGTGTGTTTCAACTTCCAACGTCTTGGCAAATTTTTTAACAGAAATACGTGAAGCTGTTGAGGTTAAAGAACAACAAAAACAACAAGCTATGAAAATCTTTTATGTTGAACAACAACGAAAATTTGCAAATTTATCTGAAAATAATAGCGAAACAGGCGATAGCTTGAAAGATGGTACTGTTACCAATAGCAGCGTTGATGATGATAACTCTACTTTGGTTAAATCAGTTGATGCTGGTGATGCCTTTTGGGATTCTATATCTATAAGTGAGATGGAGGGTAAAGGTAAAGGAACCTGGGTCCCAGGTCAAAGTGTAGAGATCAATTTTACCAGAATTATTGAAATTTTAATGCCACATTTAAGTTCCTCAGGTATTATAAAACAATGAGAATGTATTTGTTTGAATAGTTTTGTTGGGATATTGAAGATTTAATAATAATATGATTATTATTCATTTATAGTTGAACAAATTCAAGAAACAGCATTGAAATGGATAAATGAATTTATTAATATTGCTAAAGAAGTGGTCATCAGCTTTACACCTCAATTAATAAGTGCTGTCTTACCCTCCTTGGCTCATTCAGTTCCAAATATCCTTTCATACCAATGTACACAGTTCATATATGTGTATTCAAATATTTGTCTATTTGCTTGTTTTCTTCAGAACATTGAAATATAACTTCCTTAACAGATTATTATTAATATTATTATACAAATTAGAAATTGTGCCATAGATGTCAACAAAAACCTTCATAAAATGATCTTAGAAACACCAAATTTTACCAATACTTCTTCTGCCTTACATTCAACTTTTCCAAAGGACCATAATAATAACAAAAACGACAATATCAATAATGATGATGGTGATATTAATAACCAATTGTCAACAATCTCACATAACAAATTTTCAAAATCAACCAGTGTAGATGTAAAAATTGATTCAAATAGTGTTGTAGATACGTCACCTTTAATAGAGGAGGAAGTTGATCCTTTTGATTATCGATCAACAGTTAGATCATTGGTGGATCAATTTATTAACAGCCATGAAGAAACAAGAATTGCAAGTTTAGATTTGTTGATAATGCTTCATAAAAAAGCGCCCAAAAAGGTTTTTATTATTTAAAGAAAAAATAATTAATTAATTAATATAAAAAAAAATTTTTTAACAAACAATTTAAATTTATTTAATTTACAGATACTTGCTTTTGATGATGGGTATTTTCCAAATCTATTGGAACTTCTCTTAGATCCATCAGAAGAAGTTGCAAAACGTGATCTTCAGCTTCTTGCACAATTATCTTCAAGTTCTCAAGATGAATATTTTCCAAAGTTTATGGTTGACTTGTTGAAATTGTTTGCTACTGATCGCAAATTATTAGAAAACAGAGGAAGTCTAATTATTCGGCATTTATGTCTGAGTCTTAATTCAGAAAGGATATACATGAGTTTTGCTGAGATTTTGGAAAAAGAAGAGGTTAAAGTTTTAAATACTCTTTTTTATATCAATCAATATGAACCATTTATTTAGAAAAAAAATTTTTTTGTTATAAATTGTAGGATATAGAATTTGCTTCAAATATGGTACAAAATCTCAACAGTATACTTATAACGTCACCAGAACTTTCAGATTTAAGAAGAAGATTAAAACACTTGGAGGCAAAGGATGGACAAATGTTGTTTACAGCATTATATAAATCATGGTGTCATAATCCAGTTGCAACATTTTCACTTTGTTTATTAGCTCAAGCCTATGAACATGCCTCGAACCTTTTGCAAAATTTGTATTTTTCAATTCTTATTTATTTATTATTTATTTATTATTATGTTTTATTCGTAATATCGCTTATTTAAACATTTATTTATTTTTAGTGCTGAAATAGAAATCACCGTTAATTTGTTGATCCAAGTTGATAAACTTGTTCAATTATTGGAATCGCCAGTTTTTACCTGTAATTATCCAAAAGAAATTTCGATTTATTTCTATTTGTCAATTGATTGATTTTTTCAATTTGTTGTTAATTAATTGATTTCTTATTCTAGATCTCAGATTACAACTACTTGAACCAGACAAATACCCACATTTGGTAAAATGTTTATATGGATTATTGATGTTATTACCACAAAGTAGTGCATTTGCAAGTTTAAAAAATAGGTTGACAAGTGTCAGTTCTATGGGATTTTTGCATTTAATGCCAAAAAGGTTAATATTATACACACATGCATACATACATACATATGTATATATATGTACAATAAAAAGATATCAGATCATTAAATTTTTTTAAAAATTTTTTATTTAATAAGTCCAAATGATTCAAAAAAATCAATTAGTAAATTATTATCATCAAGAGATGAAGGAATTAGGTTCCAAGATTTGTTGACGCATTTCAAAACGGTTCAAACAAAACATGAAACAATTCGTAAACAAGGTAATTTAAATATAATATTTAACGTTTTTTGATGATTGAATGAATAAATATTGGATAAGATTTGTTTATGATTAATTAACCGCAATCAATTATATTTATAGCTCGTACTATTAAGAAAAGTAATACTACACGTAGAAGAAGAAATCAAGATTAGATATTTCCCTTATATATTTATTTTTTCTCTTTGTAACTATTTAAATACATAGACTTTTTATATTTATTTATTTATTTATCTATTTGTTTGTTTATTATTGTATTAGTATGTGTGTATATATATTTATTCATTTTCATTTATTTTTATCATAAGAGACATTTTTTTAAATAAACTATTATTATTATATACTATTACTATTTATTAAACTTGCAAATTCGAATTGTATATTTAAATCGTTTATTATTGTTGTTAAATGGCTGGTCAGAAAAATCAGAAAGAACAAATTTGGAAATGACTTTTTTAAAAAATAATCAAAAAACAAGCTGTTCAATGATGATAGTAAAGTTTCAAAGATAGCTTCTTCTGCTAATAATGACAAACAACAACAACAAAATATTTATCCAGTTCATAGGGCAACTCCTTCTACTAATTCCAACTTGTCTTCATCAAAACTTTCATCAAATTCATCTGAAACAATCACTTCTTGAAATAAATATTAATTATACACAAATTTAAAATATATCTTAAAAAACGCGTAAAAATCTTACTATGTAGATCAGTGCCAAAAATAGATATAAAAAAATAACCCTCTGTTAAAGTAAGGGATGCGGTATGTATTGACATCAAATATAAATTAATTATATATTTAATGTTCTTATCATATATCTTGTCGCTTTTATTTTTTCATAGGCTTATCCATTCAATCATTATACGCTTTTATATTAGTGATAGAAATATTAAAAGAAGTAATAGGATCATTATTATTACTGTTATAGTTGGTTTAACAACATCTATTTGGATTTTATTACTAACGTTAACGTTAAACATCATTGTTATCACAAAGTCTATAGTTGAACACATTCATAAATTTATAATGGAAAATTTTAACAATTCGCAACAAATATAACCCGGATGAATGAATATGCACCACTTGATGAAGTGAGCAATGCCAGTTATGCTAATTGTACAGATAATCCAGGTATACTAGCAACAACCTCCACTACAAGTGAAGATGTAAACTATGATGATAATGATGATAATAGTGACGGTTGTAATATTTTTATCAAAGATTATCACAACATTTTAGAGTATGAGGACATTAAATATTTAATGGAAAATTTAAAGATTTTTTTTTGTTAATTTATAGTGAGTATAATTTGTTTTATTAAATTGCAAACAATAGCACCATTATCTATATTTTTTATTTTTTATTATTATAGAAAAACATTGGTATCTTTATGTGTTGGACCATCCTTATGACGGCATATACAGATGCAATTGTAAGCCTCGCAAGAGAGTATATTATTATAATTAATGACAACAGATTTGTTGTCAGCAGATCTAGACAACTTGATTTATTTAGATTCTTGTGATTTTTCATCAATTACAAATAAAGATACAAAGGATTATGGAATTTTAGATAGCGATAAAAATTCCAAAGTATCATTGGCAGTTGTGTGATTGTTGATATAGAAAATGGCCAATTTACACATTGTAAGAAAAAAGTATGTAGGCCAATTAAACAATCAATGGGTGCGTGAGAAATTAATACAGAAACAGTTATTGATGCTCTAGAAAAGATAAATAAAATGCTATGATCAGCTTGGAGTTTATCAAGCCCACTTCCATATTGATCAAAATGGTCCCCATGAACCTGGATCAAGACGTCAAGTATCCATTGAAAAAACTGGATACATAAGAGGCGTTGTCTTTTAACATTTTATCCAAGTTTCCAAATAATAAAAGAAAAGATGAAAGCGAACAGCAATAATAAAGTTATTTAACTAAATCATCAAATAAATTTTTATCGAATCAAAAATTTTCTTTGAATTCTTCGCAATTAAAACCTTTGAAAATGACTCAACCATCATTATGATCCATTAAAAAGCGTGTGTATATCACTACTGAAAAGAAATGCGAATCATGTTTATTTAAAACAAAACAAGTTTTTAATAGGAGGTTGCTATGAGTTCGTGTATATAGTCATTAAACAAGTATGGAATTTCCGAAAATTTAATACATTATAAATTACATTCAATTTTTCAATACAAATATATTTTCTTTTACAACGTTGTTAATTTTTGCAACCATGGCCTCTAATCTTTTAAAACTGCCCTAGAAATTTTTAATTGAGAATAATCAAATCAAGGATCTGTAGTTTTCCTAATGTGGGATGGGAGGGAGCTCGACTAATTGAAACAACTTGTCCTTCTGCTAACATACTTTCATCAATGTTCAATGTTATGTGTGGTAGGTCAATCCTTGAGTTTTATGAATAGCCAGAGCAAATGCATTCTGAAGAGGAATTGTTTTCTTGAACTTTCTCGTTTGGTAAATTTAAAAATTTAGAATGCCCGATAAAAAATTTGGGAATCAAACATTTTCCGAGCATCCAAGAACAATTAAAGAAAGCAAATGAAAGGTTGGAAGAGACAGGAGGTGGAAAGAGAGGTGGAAAGAGAGGTTGGACAGGTTAAAGAGGAAGAATGTGGAAGAATGTTAAAGGAGGAATTAGAATGAGTTAAAGAAAGAAGAAATGGTCGAGAAGAAGAGGTTAAGAGGTGGGGAGGCGTTACGAGAAATCGGTAGAAAGAAATCGTATAAAAAATATACAAAAATTATTTTCCATTTCGTTTTATTTATTTATTATCAATTTGAGGTATTAGTATAATGGTATAGGACCCGGTGCAAAATATTCAATGACCTCATATGTTTAGTTTGCTTATATTTGCGTATTTTATATTAGGCAAAAAATATTTAAACCAAAATTTGAATAAGTTCCGGCATCACATGCATAGTAATAGAAATAAAATTCCCAAGATTTTATCAAGTATGGGTATATTTCTAAGCTGAAAAGATTCCTCGCCTCAAACTGCATATAACTGCATTATTATTATTCCAAAAATAACAAAAAAAAATTGACTGATTATTTAAAGTGCGTGTTTTCACATGATTTAATGCTACAAAGATATAACAACCATTTATCACCTGATCAAACCTAGTGGCAATAATTCTGACATACCATTATTATTATATTATTGATGCTTTGTATTTGAATTGTGTTAATAGCATTATTGGTATTATTATAATCAATATTGTCATGAAGTGGATGCTTAATTGATTCATGATGTGATTTATGTTTAAGAAAAAATCAGTGTCTTTAGAATGATCAATAAATTGTTTAATGAGATAGTGTTGGTAATTTTGATTTTTTCCCAGTCTATTCTCTCTTGCTGTAGAGCCATTCCATGGCTTTATAAATTCCCAATTCTCTCAAGTTCACTATAGATTTTGGTGAAGAAACTTCCTTAAAAGGCAAAGATGAGCTTGAAGATTACTTGCTTAACGAGACCCTCTCAACAAAGTAGAGTCCACCCACTTTCCAGTGAGTTATTATCCCAGGTGATTATAGTACTGAGTTCAAGTGTGTTTTAACCTTTAGGTGTATTAAATAAGCTTGTTTTCATGGTCTTTGGTATTATCTTTTTGTAAAATTATTTTTATTTCTATGTAAATCACAAAATGTTGAATTGTAACACATATCATAAAAGAAAAGATTTCGTCATCATTTCTTTTTAAAAATTTTTTTGAATTCCAAAATTTTCTATTTTCCCTATAAATAAAATATGAGCTCCATAGGAACAGGCGTAGGTTATTACTCAAAGAATTGTTGGCATTTACAAATTAAAGACTAATCAAAGACTAATTAATTAAAATTTGATTAATTAATGCTTTTATTTATTAGTATGATATTTCAGTTGCCACATATTCACCTGATGGGCGTGTATTTCAAGTTGAATATGCAGCAAAAGCTGTAGACAACAGCGGGTACATTATTAAAATAATGAAATACTATATGCATAAATGAACGAATGAATAAATAAATAGATAGATGTTTTTGTATGCATAATCTATTTTAAAAATGCTATTTTAGAACCGCGATTGGCTTACGTGTTAAGAATGGAGTAGTTTTAGCAGTGGAAAAATTAAATCAATCAAAATTACTAGTTCCAGGATCAAATCGTCGAATTCAAACTGTTGATACTCATATTGGAGTAGTAAGTTCTTGTAATATATCATATATATATATAATTTATTATTTATTAGGAATAGATTTGATTTATAAATAAATATATACACATGTTTGTTTTTATTTGTGTAATTTTTAGGCAACAGCAGGATTGTTAGCTGATGGAAGACACATTATTAATAGAGCAAGGGATGAAGCAGAAGGTTATCGAGATACATATAAAACACAAATTCCTGGAAAAGTAAATTTTTTGATCTGTTCTAAAAAATAATTATTTATAAAATAATGATGATTAATCAAAAAATCTATTATTTCTATAGACAATAGCTGATCGAGTAGGACAATATGTACAAGCATATACATTATATTCAAGTGTTCGACCATTTGGAAGTAGTGCTATTATTGGAACTTTTGATAAAGATGGTCCTCAACTTTATATGGTTGAACCTTCAGGTGTATACTGGGTAAAAATCATAATAAAAAAGTTTTTTTATGTACTGGTAAATATTTTTATTTATTTGATTTCTCATTAAAACTTTTTATAAAATAGGGATATTATGGATGTGCTATTGGTAAAGGAAAACAAATTGCCAAAACAGAACTTGAAAAGCTTGTTCTTTCAGAAATGGATGTTTTGGAAGCTGTAAAGGAAGCAGCCAGAATGTAACGTTGATTAATATAAAAAAAAAATTTTTTTATTTTTATTTACTGTATTATTGATTATTTGTCAATATATGAAAATATGTTCAGTATTTATACAGTTCATGATGAAGCAAAAGATAAAGATTTTGAATTGGAATTGAGCTGGATCACAGAAGATGATCAAAAACATCGACTTGTACCCAAAGATATTTTTATTGAAGCTGAAAGATTGGCAAAGGTACAATGATAAAGTCATTATTTTAAATACATATAATATTGTGTGACTAATTCATAAATCTTTTTGGGGATTAGGAATCACTTAATCAAGAAGAAATGGATGAATAATTAAAAGTTGGATCTTTTTATTATTTATTTTATTATTCCCCATAATATTTATATATAATATTTTTATTATATATATAATAAAAAATAAACATTATTTTGAATACAATTTTAAATTTTATTGATTACTACCGTATGGGCATACAACAAAACAAAGTGAACATCATCATTATTATTACGTCACAGAGAATTCCAGGGATCAAAATAATGAATGCTTTATCTTTATCACACGTATTAATATTAATATTAATATTAATATAGGATTATCTCTCTACGTAATAATTGTCATGTTTTATCATTCATCCATAAAGAAAACAAAACGTTATTTTAAATAAGTATCTATAAAGTTGAAAATTTGCTCTTATTATATTTCTGGTTTAGATAAAAAAACTAAAATGTTATGATAAAAGAACTAGATAGTAATGAATTACGAATAATATATTTGATCCAACAATTAATGATATATTATAATTATAACAATGTATAAGTAATATAGAAAATAATGATTTAGAAATAGCTAATTTGGTTCATCTGGATCTAATATAATCTTGATGTTAATCAACCATTAGGAAATTCATTTAATATTGGTTATATGAATTATGATACACATTCTTTAGTTCAAAGTTTTATGAATGATGATGATTAAATAATTTGCTTAAAAAATAGCTGTGATTTTATTTTGTTGGTTTCACCCAATTACAGTTCTATAATAGATTTTCTATAACGGATCTTACTTTATAACTGAGAATTTGAGCTTAATTTATATGTCCCGTATACAAATTATTACTGTCTATAACGAATTCGAAGGAATTTTGGTGACATGGTGGAATTAGTGTATAGTTCACTCGGGCTATTTGGTTTACGAAAAACGTCCGTTATAAAGAGGGTTTATTTCACCCACCATTGGTGAAATAGTTTCAGGTGAATGATGCAAAAACTTCGTGGATCATATCTAAATTTGTCCAAACCCAAAAATTTTACAAACCCACGTGGATTTTATTCCTATTTTGAATCTGGTAATCGCGCGGCGCAACACCATAAGAACACCAGTTAGTTTCTCTTCCATTCTTAAAAGCAATTATTGGAAGTCTATTCTTTATTCTATTCCTTTAAATGCGAAAAACCTTTATCTGATGATTATCTAAGGTAGAAGATGCAATGGAAGTTTCATTCGAAGAATGCTGGGTAGTGAGCCAAAGTCTGAACTTCTAAAACATTGCATCTCGAAGGGTTTCCATTTTTAAATTTGACACCTAGGCTTAATATGACAGATTTATTTTATTTTTCAGGAATGATTTTTAAAGGAACTCTACAGCATGCAATTATATACAATTTGGAAGGACCAAGTAAAGAATCAATCACTAAAATTTTCCACTATCGCAATGGAACCTTTGTCCTACACGGAAAGAAGGCTCAGGTTAAAATTCAGCAAAAATATCAGGGGTTTCAAACATTTGCTCTTTAAAATTTCACATTTAAGAATATGCATCAAATAACAACAACATTAAATGTCTTTACCATTCTAATAGACCTTGATTGATTTATGTGTTCTTGATAAGAAAATCCATATCCTTCTGGTTATTAATTTCTGTTCTCCTTGGTAGATCAATATTTGTTTCTTTAAAAAAAAAAATATCAAATGGTCAAAGAGGAGACTTAAGTCTACCTAGAAGAATGTCAAGAAAGTTGCAGGCACAAATGGCTTAGTAGCAGATAAATGCAAAGTTGTTGTCCAATTAACTTGTCTAAAAGATGCTTTAATCCAAGGACACATTATATGGATTAATTACAAATGCATCCTGTGCCCTTTAGCAAAGAAAATCTGCCTTCAAGATAGCAGGACATAGACTAAGGGAAATATAAGAATAGCTAATAAAATATCTTTAACAAGTGTATGCAAAAGAAAATGACGACAAAGGAAATTTTTTGATCTACATTTTTGGATTAAAAAATATTGTGTATTGACACTTGGTGCCACAAAATTGTTACGTTCACTTTGTCTGGTTCGTGTTTAACCATATGCAAATAACCTCTATTTATTTAATTTATTACATTAAGTAGATATGAGATATAAATGTTTTTCTAATTATATATATTACAAATCGATTAATCGGTCGATCTATCCAATTTACGTTTAACTCCTTTTTTAGCCTCAGCCAAAAATTGATTGACGCCAAATGGATCAGCTTCTTCTTTTTCAAATTCCACTGGACCATCTCTCGGCTAAAAAAATCATAATTAATTGCATATTTTGTATGAAACTATTAAATAAATAAAACAAATATTAATATAAATAATACATACCTGACTTTTATCTGCTCCTTGAAAAACTTTTGTACCAAATTTGTCAACACTTAATATTTTATTGATATCCTCTACATTACCACCACCAAATTTATCCGAGTCATAGTCCTTCTTTGGTTTATAAATACTAGATGCACTTGACCCAGCAAACAAAGGTTTATCGTATAAATCATAAGCTAATAAGTGGTTTTTAAAAAATATTATTAATATTTGTTATTATAAAATAAAACAAATTAATAATGATGGATGTACAAGTATAATATACAAACATTCATCATCTTTGAATCCGGATGAAAGTCCTTCACTTTGATTAAATAATCGAGTATCATATAAACTCTCTTGAGTTATTGTTGGTTTGGCAAGTCCCAGGGCAATCTTTTCAGAAATATCTCTGTTTTGCTCTCTATTTAATATTTTTCATTTAAAATAAAATATCTAATTAAATATTTGTTACAATATATTTAATGCGTTGTGTTTATTACAACTAACCGTGCAATATATTTTGCCCGTTTTTCTGCTCCCATTTTTGATAATCTAAATTCTCTTTCACGATTTCTTCTCTTTTCTTGTCTCAATTCTTCTCTTTCACGTGCCTTTTCTTCATCTGATTCCTCACTTGATTCTGTCTCATCATCAATTATAGCCCCAGAATTCGCAGCAGCGGAAGAAGAAGAAATACCAGCTCTGTTATTCATAATCAAAAAAAATCAAAACAAATAAAATATATAAAAATATATCATATATAAATTGGGATGACTAATTAATTAATTAATTCGTACCTTTCCTCTCGTGCTTTCTGAGCAAGCATGCGCAAACGTTTTTCTTTTTCTTCCTTTTCCTTTTGAACAAGTTTTTCTCTCATTAAAGCTCGTTGTCTTACTTCTTCACGTGCGTGACGATCAGCTGCAAAAAGAGCCTCTGATAATTTTGCAAATTTGTCGTTAATGGTAACCTGTAATTTATTTAAAAATAAAGGATATGAATAAATCTGTATCCAATGTAATATTTCTACATGTAAGGGAAAAAATCTTCTGCACTAACTTCTTGCAATCCTCTTCCATCTGCCGCTAAACGTTTATCAAGTGGTATTGTATATCCTTTAGCATTTTTCCAATTGGAAATACATGGAGGAATTACCCACTCTTGTTGTTCTTTCGCAGTAACTTTCCGTGGTGGCGAGTGCAGCACTGGTGCGGGTGGCGATGGTGGGCCTGTTTTTAATTTAAAGCGTAGTAGATTAATAATATAATTACAATTTCATAATATACCATGGGTAATTGTTTACCTCTGGGAATTTTTTTA